AGGCATTTGACAAGATACAGGTAACTGCCATGGTTAGGTAGCCTTACAAATAGACCTGATTAGCGGCGTTGTCATGGGAATGAATCCCCTGAGCTAGCCAATCAGGGCGCAGGATTTGTGGTATCAATTTCACTCCCGCACAAATGTATTCTGCTGCGGTCCCCGCGGATAGGACGTTCATTTATGGCGGGGGAGAGGGAGGTCAAGTTACTTTTCGATGCGGTGCGGGCCCAAGGGACCACAACTAATTTTCCATTTTGTGGCGCGCGCAGTAGATAGATTACTACTTTATTTGCTGCTGTTGGAAATGAGATAGCGAGAGATGACTCCACCACAGCGCCACAACGCTACCTGATTGAGATGTATTGCTAAATTAATCTGTGTGTGCCGGCCATTTTTTTTTCAGACTGAAATTATTCACTTATTGGGTGGGCTCTAGATTCGGGGACTCGAGATAATTTTTTTAGACTGAAATTATTCACTTATTGGGTGGGCGCCAGATTCGGGGACTTGAGATAAGGTGCCAAAATCGCTTTTTTTTTATCTCGCTTTGCGATATCGAATTCCAGGCCCGATACTCAATTCAGCCTTCTAGGTAACGTCTCAATTCTTTAAATGTCACCAACTAGTGATATAGCACAAGAACGGCATTGTCACATAGAGATACTTCAACAACTTTGTTTTACCACTTTCTAAGCAATGTACAACATCGACTGTTACAAAGTATAAAATTTGAATGGAATAGAAAATATTTGCTGCATGAAGACTTATTTCATTCTGTATTTCGTAAAGATGGTAAAAACAGAAATTATATTGCGGGTGTGACTCTGGGAACGAGAGCCTGGACATATGGGTGTAGGTTTATATCCAGAATTATCAGTGCCGAAAGAAAATTCTTCGCTAATGTGTCAAAACTAAATCAAAATCTACCAGAAAAGATGGAAATATAAAAAGAAATGGTGTATTCTATAGATGAAAATAATGTTTCATTCTGCGACTTTCTAATCTGAAAGGATACTAGATTTTTTTTTCTAAAAATGACTGGCATTGACTGCCCTTTTCAAGATGTTTTTCTAGAAATGACTGCCCTTTTCTAGATTTTTTTCTAGAAATATCTGCCCTTTTTCTAAATTTTTTTTCCGAAAATGTCTGCCCTTTTTCTGGATTTCTTCAAAGAATAACTTCCCTTTTCCTAGATTTTTTGAAGAAAATGTCTGTCATTTTTCTAGATTTTTTTTCAGAAAATGTCTGCCCTTTTTCTAGATTTTTTTTTCAGAAAATGTCTGCCATTTTTCTAGTTTCTTCTCAAAATGTCTGCCCTTTCCCGTGTAAAGTAGAGCACGTCGCCGGTGCCCTGTCCTCTGTCCTGACTAATTACATATCTGGACAGACGCACCGACAATGACACGGCAATATGACCTAATTTGAGAAGTATAATTGGCAATGGCACTGTACTATATTACTTTTGACCCTCTATTCTATAGGGAAAAGAGGGCGGAAAACTTGTTCATTGTACCCGTACCGCCCATGATGAAAAAATTCTCTTTACCTTCGCAAAGAAGGTTATGTTTTGGTGCTGTACTGTGCATTTGTGTATGAAAAGGATAACTCTAGCGGTTGTTAAAAGGTCCCCTAGTGTCTTTACATAGTACTGCAGCATATGTTCTAGTTCTGTATCTCGTTTAAGTTTAATTCAGTCACAATTTTGCTACAAAAACATCGAATTACACACATCGAAAGTTACAAGGACTACGTCGCTCTTGTGTAGTTGATTTTGGTTTTGCGTATTAAAAAGCGTGTTGTCAATAATGAAAATATAACAATAACAACGATGATGACGATGGGGTTTTACGTCCCCAACCGAAATGGCGAATGCAACCCACCATAATCGTGGTTTAGCGGGCTTAGAACCTTGCCCCCCCTTTTTATAACAGTCTGGGAAACTGACCATTGAAAAGGATCTACGTCAGCCTTTTCCGTCACAAGACTTTTATACGACACATTTACAACTGTCGTAAGAATGTCGTCAGCTTGTTGTAAACCTGTCGTGTGACCGGAACGTTCTACCGGGTCACCACCCGACCGTGTCGTGTCTGGTGGTCGTGTCCAGTTGTCCTTCCTTACACTTCATCAAAAACATACAATTTTTCCTTTCATGGCTCTCACTTATCACATATGTCATAAAAACGATCACGACCTTTGTCTAATCATCAATTCACGTCATGAGGTCAATGACCCCGAACACCGTGTCGTGCTAGTTAGGCCACAGCAAGTAAATTTTATGGATGACATCAGCGCGCGCATTAATTTTCGCCTGATTTTGGAGAGAAAAAAGCAAGAAATTTTGTTTCCCTCTGACAGTGGTCAACATGTCGACAATGGGCAAAGATGCCCGTTGCCATGCCGGAACGTGGATAGCAAATAACTATGAAGAGAGGAGACAAGACAAGGTTCTGATTTAATGTTTCGTCTTTTACGAAGGAAGACATATTGTTTTTGCTCAGTTTCTTCTTTTCCAAACACAAAAGGTCAATGACCTGAACCAGACAGTCTATCACCATGGTAACTGGTGTTGGGTTACACCATGTTGCAATTTTATAGCAGGAGGGATTTAGACTTTTGTCACCACATATATGAATGTGTGAATGTAAGAATTAACAGAGCAGACCATATGCGAAGGTGAACATTATGCATTCGCTTTGCAAATGTTACCTTTCTAGTTAAGAAATGTCGTTAGAATACTGTAAATTTTGACATTTTCGCGAACTCAAAAATGAATCTACAGTCCAGTACGTCCATTTGTAGATGTCAGTTGACACGGTCAGTTAGCTCGGATATTGGGAAATTTTGTATAATTTTACATAACATTATCATCTGTCATAACTGCCTGTCATATCTCATATAAGCGCAACAGATCAGTCGTCGGGAATTTTGCAAAAACCAATGATTTTAATTTCTAACAGTTGAAACTTTGAGATAGAAAATATGTGGAGTGTATTCATACATACATTTAGACAACCAATCCGAATGATACGTACATGAGTATAATAGGAAATTGGACACAAAATACCCATTTGAAAATAAAGATTTAAAAATCCCTTTCTTTTGGTATGTAGGGCGGTGCCCATCACTGTCTCTATAGCCCTTGGGCCACACATTTCAGTGCAAGCACTATATATATAGCAGGGGGCTAGTTCATTGGTGGAGTTATGTATTCAACGTTTAAACTAATGATTCTCATGGCATAAGTGTTATATGCTAATATCTGAGAAAGTATAGCCTGGGTGCCATCCTCCGTAGTTACCACCGTCTCCCTACGGTTGTAGCCAGTGACAGTAGGGAGCCTGCGATGACTACGGAGGCTGGCACCCAGGCTAGAGAAAACAGTATCTACCATTTTTTAAAGTCTTTGCTATGGCCCTACCCTCTACCAGGCTTCGGGAGGTGGCTGGAAAGAGTAGAAATTGACCAAATAGAGAGATAACATTCCAGGGGAGTTGGTCTGCTAGAGAGTACAGTTTGTTCGGTGCGGCAAACTGTATTAGCCTGGGTACCATCCGGATTTTGGTTCCGTAAAATCGTGATTTTTTTCGAGCGTGGCGGAGCCAAAATCCGGATGGTACCCAGGCTAAACTGTACTCTCTAGTTGACCAACTCCCATGGCATGTTATATCTCTCTCTATTTGGCCAATGTCTACTCTTTCCATCCGTCTCCCGAAGCCTGGTTGAGGCTAGTATGGCCCGACCGGGGTTTGAACTCACTAGCTCCGCATGCAAAACTGAATACCCCACTCACTTGTCTATAGTACGGGTTTTCCATACACATGTGCTACGCGGCTTTGGCTAGAAGATTGCCGCTGACCAATTGCCCCCTACGGGTCGCTTGACTGCCCACTGGACGTGCGTAAAGTGGCTAAAGGATGACCACTGCGGGACCCTTACGGTCACTTCGACCATATTTCACGGCGCTTCAACCTCTATATTGGTCATCATATTTTTATGACCGTAGTGACCGGCCCATTGGATATGTAACCAATGTACCGTGTATATAGACCTCATGCCATGGCCTAAAACCGGCCTAATGCTACAATATGTATTAACATACATGTCGTTTTACGGAATCATTGCATTGTATTGTACCAGGCTATTCCTTGCTAGTCTCCAACAGCCTCCTTTGGCTGCTGTAATGATAATAGAGTTGTCAAAATAGAGACTACAAGTAATTTATTGAGTCTTTGATGTGTTTATGCTAAGAAACTTGATACGCATACATTGGGCGATATTATATTGTATAATGTATTATGTTATATCCAAGATTTTGCACAAGAAAGAAAATCAGAGCCCCGCCATGCCCTTTTGCTGGCCGAAAAATTAGCAAAAACTGGCTAAATAGGAAGACTAACACGACCGTAGCACGACATGACAGGACTCTAGTACGACATGAACAGGACTTTAGTACGACAAGCCACCGTGCTTCGACATCCACGGACCGTTTAGCGACCTAACACGACCGTGGCACGACATGACAGGACTCTAGTACGACATGACACGACCGTAGCACGACATGACGCGACTCTAGTACGACATGTCACGGTGCTTCGACATTCATGGGCCGTTTATCGACCTAACACGACCGTAGTACGACATGACAGGACACTAGTACGACATGACAGGACTCTAGTACGACATGACAAGACTCTAGTACGACAAGCCACAGTGCTTCGACATCCACAGACCGTTTAGCGACCTGACACGATCGTAGTACGACATGACAGGACTCTAGTACGACACGACACGGTGCTTCGACCCCCATATAGCCCGCCATAAATTCACACCACCCAGCATTGATGTACGATGGAACACGGCAAAACAAAGTGGACCCAATGAGGTAAATCAAGTTAAGGCCTTCAGCCAATCAGTGACCACTTGGGGACCCATTGGGGTAAATCGAGTTAAGGCCTTCAGCCAATCAGTGACCACATGGGGACCTTTAAACCCACCTTGTTTGACGTGTCACGGTCTTTCGCGCCCGCTACTGACCACCATAAATCCATACTGGACATCACGATGGGTCTATGAAAAGGGAATCAAGCGAATGTAATTGTGTGGAGTGGCCTGAGTGGATTTGGTCAAACGATGACCACTTGGGGACCAGTATACCCAAGCCTAGAGGCTGCTAGCCTCTACCCGGCCTCGGGAAGCGGCTGGACAGAGTAGAAATTGGCCAACTAGACAGATAACATGCAAAATAGACAGATATAGCATTTGTCCAATTTTTACTCTTTCCAGCCGCTTCTGAAGCCTGGAAGAGGCTATTGTTGTGGTAGCTATGGCAACATGTATACAGGATAAAGCATTGCCATTGGTAGAAACATATTGCTTCAACGTATGTAGAATAGTCTCGGGCGCAGGCATTTTAGAAGTCAGTTTTAGAACCATCTTCTTTTGTCATATTTTCTTTGTGATTGGGAAGAGACGAGTCTATAATTGGCAAATGTATTGTTCAATAAGATAAGAATTTGTGTACAATTTTCGCAATTAAATAAATATCTCTTATGGCAATATACATCCCAGTTATGAAGTAATTTTTCATGCAAAGACAAGACAATAACATGTTGGAAATATGTATATTGTACGTGATTAAAAACAAATCTAAACAGAAAACAAACATATTCATCACAATATACGTAGAACCAAAAATGCCATAAAATGACATGTACTTTCTTCTATTACGTACATGTAATATGAAATATTGTTTCAAAACTGAAAACGCATCAAAACTGAGTTGGTAAACCATTGTCATACAACTCATTAAGTCATCATTATTTTATTAATAAGACTTAATGTCAACGTGTACAAAAGTGCTTTCTAGTCTGTCCATTGTTTCCGAAGTCGTTGGCATTTTTATTACGTATTTTTTGTCATGAATATATATTATACTATCAAGTTGACGAATATTAATCTAGATGTGATAATTCATGTCATATTTGTAATCCGATCCCAGTTGTCATTTTTAAATATCTTTGCAGTAAAGTATTTGTGCAAACAAAGGCATTCAGTGTAGTTTTTAGGGCTTGGAAACCCGATTTTTCAAAGCCAATATTCTAGTCATTTATCTACATACTGAGTTGAAACCACACTGTACCATATTGTGTATATTGACCCTCATGGAGCAAAAATGCCCAAAATTCTGACGGAAAATGGTTACTGGAGGGGCCCTGGGCTGATTTTTAGGGTACCACCCAGAAAATAAAGGACTCATCTTGGGGCTTGTTTCTGCAGTTTTAAACGCCCAAAGTATGAAATGCTGACCCAAATGTGCTAATGTGAAGCAGTATGTGTCAATATCCTAAAGATTGCCTTATTCAGAATATTTCCAGTTTTGCTGCCCTGAAATCGCATTGGATGCCTTTAATTAGAAATTTAAAAAGAAATTAATACAAAAGCAATGATATAAACCGAAACAGAATACATATTAGCACAAATATTATGCCGTTACACACTAAATTGGAATTTTAGCTATTCACCTAGAATTAATGGTGCATATTGAATATTTGTATTGCCTATTAGGGTAGAACAAAAACGTTATGCTCTATTAGGCACAAATGTTGGTTTCGTGTTGCCCACTGAAAGCACATATGCAAGATAATGAAGGTTCCTTGAAATCTGACTAAATTTGTATCTGTTAATTTTGCCCTCTCTTTGTAAACGTTTTTATACAGTAGCCACAATGCTAGTATGTCGATAGCCTCTACCAGGCTTCAGAGGCGGCTGGAAATAGTAGAAATTGGCCAGATTGACAGATCATATGCAAGGGAACAGTAGCGGACCAACTCCCCTGGCATGTTATCTCTCTATTTGGCCAGCCGCTTCTAAAGCCTGGTAGAGCCTAGTGTAAAGTAAAAAAAAATTGAAATTATGATACAAAAAGGGAGTCAAAAACGTAAAACTCTACATATGTAATTTTTAAAAAATATTGAACACATCTTAGTATATTTTTGAGTTCTACTCTTTCCAGCCGCTTCTGACGCCTGGTAGCTGGTAGAGCCTATTGTAAATTAAAAATTTGTGAAATTATGATGCAACAAGGGAGTCAAAAACGCAAAACCCTACATATGTAATTTCTAAAAAGATTTTAACACATTTTAGTATATTTTTGAGTTCTAATCTTTCCAGCCGCTTCTGAAGCCTGGTAGAGCCTAGTAAGATGCAACAAGGGAGTCAAAAACGCAAAATCCTACATATATAATTTCTAAAGAATTTTAACACATTTTAGTATATTTTTGAGCACACTACACGAATTTTGCCCTTATTCTAACTCTTCGTGTGTCACAATTTAGACCTTGGCAAATTGTATTGTTTTGTGTTGTTTTTAGACGATCCTAACAACTACCGAAGAGCGTATGATGTCAGCTACCCTATAACGTAATCACTACCATTTAGAGCTAGTAAACAATGACCAAACGTCACAAATGATTGATCAATCTCATCTCTTAACATTTCCATCCATGCTAACGCAAATTCAATCATCTCCATATCACCAATCACTTTAAACTTACCACAATGAAAAGAGATACACATGTAAGATTATCCTAATTGTATGCACAAGTACAATGGTTTGGCGTATTTTATCACAAAAAGCACTGTCAGTAATATATGCTGGGTGCCAGGAAAATTAACTACTATGCAGGGCACATAAAAAGAGGGGATACGCACATGGTCTAAATCAAATGCTTTCTTATCATCATGTTTTTTCATGCGTAAACACTGAATGTGTCCATTATGTTATTGTAATCGAGCCGGCTATATCGTGCCCAGGCCTATTATATAGACAATGGGCCCTGTGATATCTATATCAGCAGAAATCTAGAACAGTTCACTGCCTCTATTCAATCCGATTTGTGGAAATGTTTCAATCATGAAAATTTGACAGGTTATTGTATGTCTTCTTCAGTTTTTAGTTGTCATTGTCAAAATCTCATTTAGGGAGAGAATTATGTTCAAAGGACCTTGTAATGTTTACGAAAACGGCAAATGTTTTATTATGAATTTGACAGACTATTGTTAAAAATTATGAATTTGACAGGTTATTGTATGTCTTCTTCAGTTTTTAGTTGTCATTGTCAAAATCTCATTTATGAAGAGAATTTATGTTTAAAGAATCTTGTAATGTTTACCAAAACGGTAAATTGATGCTTTTTTTTAATATGAATTTGACAGACAATTTGATAAGACTATTGTATGTCTTCTTTAGTTTTTAGGTGTCATTGTCAAAATCTCATTTATGAAGAGAATTATGTTCAAAGGACCTTGTAATGTTTACCAAAACGGTAAATGTTTTACTATGAATTTGACAGACTATTGTTACAAATTATGAATTTGACAGGTTATTGTGTGTCTTGTTCAGTTTTTAGTTGTCATTGTCAAAATCTCATTTATGGAGAGAATTATGTTCAAAGGACCTTGTAATGTTTACCAAAACGGTAAATGTTTTATTATGAATTTGACAGACTATTGTTACAAATTATGAATTTGACAGGTTATTGTATGTCCTCTTCAGTTTTTAGTTGTCATCGTCAAAATCTCATTTATGGAGAGAATTATGTTCAAAGAACCTTGTAATGTTTACCAAAACGGTAAATTGATGCTTTCTTTTTATTATGAATTTGATAGACCATTGTTATGAATTATGAGTTAAGAATTTGACAGTGCATTGTATGTCTTCTTCGTTTTTAGTTGTCATTGTCAAAATCTCATTTATGAAGAGAATTATGTTTAAAGAACCTTGTAATGTTTACCAAAATCGGTGAATGGCTGCTTTCTTTTTATCACACAATGATAACAGCGATTTGAGTGGGCTTTAGAAATAATACGTCTTCATTTTACCCAGGTTTACTACCGTGTATTATGACTCGGAACAGATTATTTCTCAACACCGGCGATTTTCCTTTCACCTAAGCGTAGATGAAGCATCGGTGAGTGAATTTCGTGCGAACTTTTTATGACTTTGTGGTGCCGCGGCTCGTTTTGTTGTAGCCTCTACCAGACTACGCTGGCTATATATAGGAGAATATTTGCCAGGGGAGTTTGGCCGCCTTGTAGGTTTGACTGGCCACGCAGTTAGAGGGAAAGAAACTACCTCCCAGGTCCCGCGGCCGGACTCCCCTGGCCAGTTTTTCTCTCTTTTTTTGCCGTATTCTACGATCCGTTTTCCCGTAGAAAGGCCTGGTGGAGGCTAGATGGAGGGAAAGAAACTACCTCCCCGCGGCCGGACTCCCTTGGCCAATTTTACTCTCTTTTTTTTGCCGTATTCTACGATCCGTATTCCCGTAGAAAGGCCTGGTGGAGGCTAGGTCGGAGGGAAAGAAACTACCTCCCCGCAGCCGGACTCCCTTGGCCAATTTTACTCTCTTTTTTTGCGGAATTCTACGATCCATATTCCCGTAGGAAGGCCTGGTGGAGGCTACGTTTTTTGTAGTCTCTACCAGACTAACTATGCTGGCTATATATAGAAGAATATTTGCCGGGTGAGTTTGGCCGCCTTGTAGGTTTGACTGGCCGCTTCGGAGGGAAAGAAACTACCTCCCCGCGGCCAATTTTACTCTCTTTTTTGGCCGAATTCTACGATCCGTATTCCCGTAGGAAGGCCTGGTAGTGGAGGCTACGTTTTTTGAGATTCCGTGCGCGCGCGGTTGGAGCAGCTTGCGCGCCGCTCTCCCCATTTTTCGCGCGGCCTGGTCCATGAAAAATTGTTTCCCGCGCCGGCGACCCCACGCTCTTCCCTTCCGCTGGACCGAGAATGATGAATGGTAGTCCTGATTCTTCCAGAAGTTCGTGACAGATCGTTTCCCCACCCATCCGCGTCGAGTTGATACCGTACTTATAGACTATCCCGCCACAATTATTCTTCCCTCCATCGCATGAATTCGGCATTAATTCTGGTCGTT